GGACATTGATGTACAACCTTTGCGGTTATTCACCACCACGTCTTGCAGTGGACTAGCCCCGCTCACGAAAGCCCTGCTCACTGCATGCTAGGGTCTCGCATCGACTGCAACTTCGACCGAAGGGTATCCTGACCGGTGAGTTCTGCGAAGACGGACACATCACAAAAGCTCAGCAGAAAGCTCAACTTCCATCCTGCTCAAAGTGCAACGACGGAACTACGTCCTGCTCAGTGCGGAAGAAAGCGTGGCTGCGGCTCCGCAGATCCTCGCAACATCGATGCAACATCGGAGCACGATCTCGACTCGACGCCGCCATTGGATCCTCGAAGTTCGCTTCAAGCTCCATCTCCCGCGTGGCCTGGCACAGCTTCAACTCGCAGACAGACTCTCCAATCTGCATGCTCAAGCTGCTGGTGACCTGATCTCGCTTGAGCTGCAAAACGATCTGATCTGTAGAGCCCTGGCTTTGCGAACGAGACCTGGGCAGATGGCCAGTAGTCGTGGGTACATCAGGATCGAACTTCCTACCCAGACCATGCTCGGCAATGTGTCGATCGCATGATGCTCCGAGTCCCCCGCTCTGTCAACAGCACCATCCTCATGCAAATGCCACAGCACTTTCTTCATGAAGTGGAACACAGCGCAATGGAGACGGCAAAGCTATGCGAACTAACGAATATTGCCTGAGACTTGTGCCAAGCGGCTGCTGCTGCCTGGTCAATACCTCCTGCAGCCGGCTCTCCGCATCTGCTGATGCTGCGACCTCTGAGTTCAGCTCCTGTTTGCCCGAGCCAGAAATCGCACACCAGCTTCCGTCTGCTCTCCCCGCTCCCCTTTCCCTCCCACTCCTCCTTTCGAGCAGTTTGCCTGTCCACTTCCTTGCTGAGGGCAGCGTGCCGTTTCTGCACCTCTCGCAAACTGCTGACACTGAACATTAATTACGTGGAACGCCAACTGCGGAGGGACTCTCAGGAGTGTGCAGAAGCGAGGGAAGCAGCCAAAGCAGCGAAAGTCGCCGCCTCATAAACCACAGCAGCTCAACATTCTCGGTCGGCTTGCTCGACAATTGAACAAATCCCTCAGAGGCACCGCAAATGCCTGAAGAGCACCTCTGAATAAACTGGTCCCGGCCACCGTCGCACTGTTGCCGGGCGCACGTGCTACCCGAAGCTGGTCCTTGGCTACCGGAAGACACAACATACCCTTCCTCGTTATTTCAGTACTATGCTTCTATCACTGTCACTGATGTTCATGTCTGCGTTTTCAAAGTGTTCCTGCTGTTGTTGCTGTTAGCACTCTCAATGCTATGCTTGCTGTTACCTCTGTCATTTCTATAGCTGCTGCTGCTGCTCCTATACCATTATAACCATCATTCTGACCATCCTCACCGTGCTTAGCGCTACTGCGCAGAACTAGTACTACGGTACGTGCCCTGAGCCATGTGTATCATTCATTATAGCTACTAGTATTAGTTGGGTGGGGGTGGGGACGCGGTGGTGGTGGGCGGGGGTGTGGGGGTGGCATGGTGGCGGCGGCGATGGCGGGCGGTCTGGCAGGGCTCAGGTGCTGCCGGTTCCCGAGAACGCAACTCGAATACTTGGATCACTCTCCTGGATTTTGAAACGGGGCAACCATGAAAGCTCTCACCGCCAAGCAGCTTAAGACACATCTCAAGCACACTTGCCAAGCCGATTGACTTAGCACAAACTTGGTCTTCTCCTAACACTGCAGGCCTTGCGGGTTCAGGAAGCTGGCAGCTTAGGCACCACTCATGCAAAGCTAAGCACAGATATCAGAAAAGGGGCTTGCACTTCGTCACAGAACTGCCAGACCCGTCGAAGTAGCCATCCTCCAGAGCAGACCAGAATGCAGATTCTGGGTTTGGCGTTTGGGATTGAAGTATTCTGGGGTTTCGCGCTCTTATCACACCCGACAGCAGCAGAGGCTCACATCTGGACACCTGTTTCGCACAAGGCTTGCTTCAAGTCCTTCAGCCATGTCCTCCTCGGGCAGGTCGCTTCGACAGGCCTCCTCGCGAGGCCCAAGCATCTACTTTGGGATGTTCTCGGCACTGCCCGTCCGGCACCGTGGTGGATTCATCATAGGAACCATCACAGTTTCGCCGCATTCTCAACAGCTACACTAGATGAAAAGCACTTCGATGCTTTTCCCTAGTTGGCATCTGGAAATGCATGCAGTACTCTGTACATCGAAGTCGGCAGTAGAATCACCGCTAGTTGGTGTGACTGTATTCAAGCCATGCATTCACTCGCACATATGCACACATGGATGGATGGATGGATGGATGGATGGATGGATGGATGCATGGATGGATGGATGGATGGATGGATGGATGGGACGGCTGCAGGGCGCTCTGGCCAAAAGGAAAACTCAACAGTGCCACACATGCACACAGGTTCACTCATGCAGAGGCCTCCAGTCCTTCAAACGAAGAATGGAGATGTTGAGAGACTGAGACAGCGCTTCCAGAATGCACTTGGCATCCTCCTGAGGCACGGAGCAGAACAAACCAGAGCTACTCCTGTCCTGCTGCATGTGAGCTCAGCAGAGACATGCTAGAACCTTCTTGATTCTAACATTGACAGGCGCATACCGAAACACAACAACAGATTCCCATCCTTGGCTCCAGCTTCCCCGGCGATGCGCTGCTGCAGAGACTGGCCCGGGAAGTGCAACACACAGCGCAAAAAAAGTGAGTGCTAATTAGCTGCCACTGCTGTGTCCACTGCCATGGTCCCCGAACTTCAGGCGAGCTCTCAGGTGCAACTCGTGGGACCGTAGGAGATGCTAGCTGGAGGGCTTCGGGGTGATACACGCCGCCCCGTGCTGAAGCAACTGTAAGCGCAAACACCTCCAGGCAGGAGGGCTGAAAAGCTGTCGACAATGACCTTCACATGCTGCACATGCGCACAGAACGCGCACGGCGACATTGACATGATTGACGGGGTCTCTTCTCTGCCCTACTGACGTCACCATATACTGATGGGGATTCAGGTCATCAACGGCTTCTTGAACTTCATGTCTGCTTCGGTGTCCGACAAATCTGACTTGAGACTTCCACTCCGCAGCCACGGGCGATCTGGAGGTCAGAAACTCGCCACGACCGAACCTGCATCCAAGCACCCCCTCTCAAATTGCCACTTTGGTGACAATACACCCTGCAGTCATCGGCTGATATGCCACAGTCTGCAAAAACTGGCTCCAGCCTCCTGGAAGCGGAATGTGGTAGAACAAGCTACTCCCAAACCCTAAAACCCTAAACCCTAAACCCTAAACCCCTAAACCCTAAACTCCTAGACCCTAAACCCTAATCCGGATCTCTGGCGCAGCCCGAGGAGCCGAGTCTCACCAGGCCGGGGCAGCGGCGGCAGAGGCGCCGGAGCCACGAGCGGCTCCTGAGAACGGGGCCCAAGACTTGTACTCTCGGCAATTTTTTAAATACTCGCACCTTTTCCTCCTGCCACAATGTGTTAGTCCTGGGTTTAGGGTTTACAGAAGGTTGAAGTAGCTTACAACAGGATCCCATCTTCCTATGCTTTTAAGTAGTAGTGTACTATGAGATGGTAGATTCCTTCCTTAGAGTGAGTATTAGTGTTGATACTAGGATTAGTAGTAGGGTCAATCTTGCGGATAAAAGCTTGACGGTATGATCATGTTCTTTCGTGGTAGAACACTGCAAATCCTATAGCACTGAAAATCCTAAAAATAAAGATTCGACTCGGGGCCGAAGCACTGAGACGTTCGCTCTTTCCCTCCAGGAACCTCTTTCGCCTCTGCATTGATACTGTAATCCCCTCCCCGGTGACCCACCCCCCCGCTTAAGTGGCCACTGAACCCACCCCGCCCCGCCTCTTAAAAATTGGCTTGCAAGCACTTTCAAGTTGACAAACAAGCAAAGGTGCTCGACCCTCCAGCCCGCCGCCCCGCCCCGCCCCAGCTCCCACCCGGCGCAAGCACCCCGCGCAACATTTGTGGCAAAGCGTTTACAATTATGAGAACACTGGGGCCATACAACACTCGCCCGGTAAACAAAAACTGGGAGACTTTCAATACGACTGATACTAACTCTCACTATCTCTCACTCTAACACTAGTATTTGACATTGATAAACAGATTCTTAGCCATGGAAAGGAAGAAGGCAAAGTTCAATCTCTGGAAGACTGATGCGAATACCGGAGAGATCGCGCCTGGCCCTGCATCGGCGCCGCTGCCCAGTCTCGCCGGAGGCGAGGATTACATGAAGGGCGGCGACTCACAGAATCTGTGTGACTTCGGGATTCTAGAGGTTTGGGGTAGAAAGTCTAGTGCATCTAGGACAGAATCTGTGCATTTTTGGAGGGCCCTTTTCCATCCGCCGAGGTTAGCATGAAGAACTCCCAATTCAGAGGAGCCTATTGGCCACGGCACTCGGATTAAACCCGAAAGCTACAACTCAGACATGAAGCCTCACTACCTTGGCACTCAGCTGAGATGCACCCCAAGAACCTAACCAGACTGTGGGGCTTAGGGTCTCGGGCCCTAAAGGACTTGCTTGAGGTTTTCAGACGTGACGCACACTTCGAGCCCCGACGGTGAGAAGCGAATCAAACTGCAGCTGCACTCTGCTCCCATGGCCAGAGATGTAGAACACATCTGCTCCAGGCTTGAAGAGTTCTGGGAGACCTGGAGTTTGAGGCTTTCCAATTTCATGGGCTGGCAAAGTCTAGAAAGCTTCCTTTGAGAATGCAATGTCGCAGGGCTCGCCGTCAGAAAATTGCGGGTTGAAAAGGAGGCAGCCCGGCAAGCACTGAACGAGTCCGAGCCGAACCGGGCGCCATGAAAATTGGGCGGTTGCTAAGCAAGCAGTTGCAATAAGCCCCGGCGTGTGCAATGCCAACGAGTACAGACCACAATCTATTTTTCGATGTGCACTCCGTGAGTTGAGACTATCTGCACATAGCCAGGAGAATCAGATTAAATATATTTCAGGGGCACGCACTTTAGGATACCTTCTTCTCTAGCTCTTCCATCTCAGGGAAGCGCTGAACCCCGGCAACACCTGCAAAGACGATGCTTGTTGAAGCATGCTGAGGGTTGTTGAAACGTTCTGGTGGTCGCCATGGTGCATGTACGTCTTATGTATCTCTTCACGCGTCTTGCTACCCCGTGCGAGATGGTGCATGTTGCAAGCACCTTCGTCCTCAAGTGCAGCGACGATGGCTTTCGATAGAGTGAAGACCGTGACCTGCAGACTCGTGTATTCATGCCTGTCAGTGCCGATGCTTTCGGGGAAGCCGGCTTCCATATGAGCCAAGCCGCCGTTTTGTCAACGAACGGAACACCAACTGCGTTGAGCAGGTTGAAAACCGGAATGACGGGCCTCACAACTCATCTGGGCAATACTAGCGCCGACTGCAAGCATGCTGTCGCCAAGCACCATCCGAGCGCAAGGCAGAACGTCGAACTTGGTCCAGCTCCAAATCAGGGATGGCCTTGCATGTGCACTGCATCGCAAGGAAAGTAGGCACGGCACACATGCTAAAAGAGGAACACGACATGCACACCTGTCGCCACTTGTGCGCACAGCACGGAGAGGTCCGTGCCCAAACCGGATATAACCGGACGATGGGCGCATCAAGCCGACGCGGCGAAGGCAGAATAAGCGGCTTTGCAAACCAAGGCCATTCCGCGGAGAGCCGCAACGAGACGGCGATGGTGTCATCGAGCAAACGGTTGAGCTGTGGCACGAGAAGGATGCAGACTCGCTCCGTGAAGCGTGATGTGACGTGCAGCTCGGTCGATCTTCCTCTCCGATGAGAAGCATGCGCACCACCCATTCCGTCCATGATCCGCCAGTCTCCGAGGACCTAAAGCGAGCCTGCGTGCATGATGTCGACCTAGTCGCGGTTGCTACCAGTGCCCAACAAAGCCTGTGAGAAGAGGAGCAGAACCTCCCGAAATCTTGAGAGTCATGACGGGGCCGAACATCTTGGACGAGCTCGCCCAGCCCCGAACTCAGCGACGAAAGTGGCCTAAAGAGTTCGGACCGAGTCGAAACAGGTTTCTTACAGAGCTGCAGGCAGCGGCACTAGCCGTGTCCAAATTGCCGAATGCGGTGTCATCAATGCAAACCCTGAGTGCAAAAGCCTGGTTTCTGTTCTGACCGAAACCTTCGACGCCCAATGCCAGTCGTCCACTTGGCACTTTCCCCAGTGGCGAGAAGGCACCTTCGTGTACGCCAAGCGTCGGCTCGAGCCGAAAGCACTGTTAGTCGGCTCGAACCCGACCTAACCCTCGAGCGTTTGGCTACAAATCCGAAGCCTTGGACCATGTGCTGGACATCATCCATGCAAGCCCTGCGACCCGGCCTGAAGATGGCGGACCTGATGGCATCCGTGCTCGAGGCAAGCTCGCTCTCAACAGCACGCTTGGCCACCAGGTACTCCTTCGAACCACAAAGCCAGTCAGGCTTTGTCGATGAGCCTGTGAACCTGCTATGGCTTTCTGACGCGTCTCTCCCCAATATTTATTGCAAAACGCTTCTCCCGGGCCTACAGGTTCTCGAGCCTTGGGCCCAAGGTGCCCTAAGTCGATTTCAACGACCTTTATGTGCTTTGCCCGCTGTGAAGTCCTTGAGCCAGGCAGGCGCCACCTTCTCCACCTGGTCGTCTGCTCTCCGCGTGAGACATGGACGAACCACTTGACAATGTGGATCGATGAAGACCAGGCTCTGCATATTGCCCTGCCTCCGGACCGAGCGCCACATCCGGCCATCCTGCCTGGAAAGGAGCCATAAGAGCAGTGGAAGCAGAAAGCAAGCGTTTGGTGAGCATCCAGACCAGCCCGCCACCAAGTTGAAAAAGCACCAAAGCAAAAAAGCAGCCTGTGTCACTATCTCAACATATGCGCACTACGGCCTCTGCCGCCGAGACGAACATCATTGGCATTGGCGGAGAAAAGGGCCTTACCAGCCATGCAAGCTTATTCAGCCCAGTTATCCTGCAACACACTGGAATCAAGCATTCACTGCATAATCATGTCTGAACAGTGGTGTTCGGCTATTTCCGGTCAGCTGCACTAACTACCCGCATAAAATCCAGAGATGAACATCCCGCTTGAACGACCTGGACAACCGGCCGCAGAGGTATCATGCCTGCCCATGACATCGAGAGCCAGACATGCGGATGCGACCTTTGATCGCGTTGATGACGTTGAAGGCCTGAGCCACCGATGAACATCCTTCACTCCTTTCCATCTGGAAATGCCCCCCCCAGACCCCCGCAGTTTAACAGCGGATCTTTCCAACATAGCCATGTGAAATGCTCAGTACTTCACTGTCTGGCGGGTGATTTTGTCGTAGGTGCTTGAGTCGTCCGGGGTGGATCCAGATCCACTGACCTGATCCAAAACACATGCACACACGGCGTGGCTTTCATGCACTGGCTGTGGATCCGACCACGAGGTTGAGGTTTGTGAGCCCGCTGTTCACATCAAACAGCAAGCCGATGGCCTTGTGAAAAGCAGCTGGGAAACATGTCACTTACTGTATTTGGCAAGTGCGATCGATGCGAAGCTTGCTCCAAAGCAGCCGCTGGGATCCCGACATGGACAACGGCATCCGCTTCGCCTGAGAAGTGAAGGAGAACCATGGAAATCCTAGGACATCGCTGCATCCACCCTGACAAATGACGAACGATGCCCAAAAAATCGTTCTAGCTTTGGGCTCCCGGTGGCACCTACAACGTTCTGCACCGTCGAAGAGTCGGCAGCATCTCCCTGCGCAGCGGATCGTGGAACACTACTGTATTCTCTCCAGGTCTGAGAAGCCGTTCCGGGCCTTCACCCACTTTACCTGATCAAGCTCTGCGTTGCCAGGCTCAGGGTTCTCACCACGTCGGCTGAGCGATGTGACCTCGCATGGACACCCGACATCTTCAATGTAGGCAGGGTCTGGACTACCACGACTGGGGGCCTGGAAGCCTCTTTGCACAGCCAGCCTGCAGACCTGCAGCAGGAGGTCACTGTCGAAGCTGCGGGCACACTAGCCACAACTGAACACCTCATATTATAAAGGGAGGTGACCTCACGCCCGACATAGCCGTTGCCACCGAGGACCAACAGACGTTTGCCGGCCTGGGTAGTCTCAAAGCTGAGAATTCTGTGAGAACAGCTGGCTTTTTCTGGTTAAGTGCACTGCTGAGGGCTCCTCACCCTCGGCAGCCCGCGCGGTGACAGGGCTTCTAACCGGTGCCTTGCGACTGCAAGCAGATCACAGATCAAGTGTGGCGGCGGGGGTTGGGCGCGGTTTTGTGCTTGCCATTCCCGGGCCTGTGTGTTCACGAAAGCAAGGTTGGAGGCGACGTCCTGCCCGGGAGACGTGTGCTCGCACACAGGGGACCCAGCCCAGTCCAACCATGATCAAGCATGCTTTCACCTCAGACTCGCCTCCGAGCACGCAAGCAAGGTACCATGAACACTGAACGCCTGAACCTCAGACTGAAGTCACCATAGATAACCCTTTCCATATGCCTTTGTTGTGGGTAGTTGCAGCAGCCAGCACAAAGCAACTCCAGCCGCAGCAACGAGGAAAACGGCCTGCGCAGAGGAACGAAGGACAACTAAGTATCGGCATGCAGCAAGGACTGGAAGAATCAGTATGAAGGCGTTTGACGAATCCTGACAGTGTCCTACGACCCAACAAGACAAGTGCCCGGGGTAATTGAGTCTGACCTTGACACCAGCCAGAGGTCGAGAGGACCCGGTCTGCCGAGTGGATGCCATTGCGGAAATAGTATGCGATAAAGAGGCAAGTAATGGCAAGTGTGCTACTTCGAGGGGTGCGGATGTTGCGACATGGTTTCAAGACTAATGCAGGAGTGCATGCTTGCGAAGGCCTATGGCTGGGTGCAACTACGTTCCAAGCCGACTCGGCTCGCAGACAATGCCGACAACCACGGCTACGTCTACATTGAGGCTACTTACTCGCAGTCCGCGAGATAGGCAGTGTGGCTTGAAATCTAGAATCCGATCTCTGTGTCTGCACGAAGGCAGAAGCTTAGCGACACGCTACCTGAGGCTCTGCACCCGATAATTCGCCAGCCCTGGACGCGCTACCTAATCTCTTATTGCATCAATTCGGTGCTCCTTTTTTATGCCATGGCTGCTGGCTCCGCTATCCTTCTGGTGATCCAAGCAACCTCAGCTCCATGCCCCTGAAATTTACAGCCACGCGGCCAGCCCTGCACTGACCTGCAGCACAAAGCTAGTAGCTAGTAAGGACCCTGCAGCCAGCAGGAGAACAGCTGCGAGGCGTGCATGACGTCGATGCCAGGCGAGACAAACCTGGATCAAATTCACACACCACACTCGCCAGGCCACGATCCTCGCTGTTGCCCCTGATTTGTAATTGTAAGCAGCTTGATGGTTTCGGCCAAGACACGTTCAGACCCGCAGCGCCTGCTGAAATGCGGAAGGCGAGAGCATAAGCAAGTCTTTGGCCTGCCAAGATCTTCTGCCACAGGAGTCTGTAAGGATGCTGTTCGCGTCTAGAGTCTGGGCTGCTGACTTGATGCTACACCGAGTCCGTCCGCGACTAAAGGCTGCAGCAGCTGGGAGACCATGCAGAGGGAGGTGAAGGCTGGCCTGATTCACAGAAGTCAAAACAGCTTCATCCCGTTCCCGCGTTCCTGAAGGTGTTAACAAAGAAGTTCTGGATGTCTTTGCATCCGACCTTCAAAACTTATTAAGATGTTGTTCTAAATTAAAGAAGCCATGCCCAGGCCTTAGGGCAAGGCTTGCACCCGCCCGCGCCGTCTTGAGCGCGCAAGGGTTTTCACTCATGTCAACATAACTACGTATGAATACAAAGCTATACATACATAATGTCATATAAAGTTTGTTACCAGTATGTATCTTGCGCCCGCCCTTGCGCGAGCTTGCGCGCGCACGGGGTTTTGACCATTCTTAACCACCATGCAAAACCCTGATGCCGGCCGTACTCTTGCTGCAAGAGGCGGGGGTTTAGAACGGCATGCTTGTAACTTCTGGAATAATGATGCCCAGTGCATCTCGGGCACGGGTAGTCTGAAGCCAGCACCACTGCGAAGACCAGCATGAACGCCTGGAGGAAGAATGCGAAACAGGCGGTTGCATCTGGCTCGCCAGCGAGGAAAGCTCCGACGCGTTTTGTCGTTGGGAGCATCGCGGAAAACTGAGCTGAGCCCAGTGCTGCGGAGCCGCAAAGAAGATTCCACCCACGAGCGAAGCCTTGAAGAACGCCTCAGAATTGGGAGAAGAATGCTCGGAGAAAAAGCTTCGGTCACCTCAGCTCCCTAGGAGTTGCCCCCATCCTTCCCTGTGTCAGCTGAGAGTCTCAATTCCAGCAACACCACCGACCTCACGCGGTCTCCCCAATCTCCCACATTGACATGAGTCGCTACATGTATGCAGGACAGGGCTGCTTCCCTCAAGAAATGTCACGATGTCTTTCCTGCCAAGCAGCGACACCACGCTAACTCCCAGGATCCAATGCCGCCACCGAGGGGACTTGCGCACCTCTGGACTAGAGCGTTCTGCTACGGGAGCGGATTCACGGACATGCATAAATAATGTCCACCTCATCTTCCCGAAGCTTTGGAACAGATCCTTTGCCATAGGCCTTGGGAGCAGGGGAGAGTACGTACAATGTACGTATCATGTAGGCACTTGCAAGCGAGTTGAAGAGAAGCTCTGTCCGTAGTGGCGCAGCATGACGGGGCTCTGCGGCACCAGACTTTGACTTCTAAGAGTCAGGCTCGAAAGGAGTCGGCTGCAACGGGTTTGGCACCTAACCCGCGCACGTTGCACTTCGAGCTTGGAGCTGTGAGCGAGCTTTCGCTGTACGTAATTCGACAGGAGCATCTCTGACTGAGGTGCGAGCGCCACCACTTCGTGCTGTTGCTCCGGCTGGTAAAAGTGTACGAGGCGAAGTCAATCGACACTGCTGTTGGTGGTGCTCCATCCTGATATAGATCCTCGCCGGAAATGGCAACCAGTGGCTCACTCGAAATTGGCAGCAAGTCCATGGTTGCACTGATATCTCTCGATCTGATCACGCGCTAGGACCGCTAGGAGAGAATCTGGCAATTCGTAATTTGGGCAGAAGCGCACGAAATGAGCATCAGGCTGGATCCCTTCACGGCCGGTTGCGCAGTGCGCCTCTCACCGTTTCTTGCAGGTGATGAGGCGGGTGTCGGGTGGGCAGAACACGTTCACACGAGCTTACATGCATGATTCAACCTTCGAATCAAGTGTTTTTGAAGACTCCAACGGCCTCGGGCAGCGGTGTTTCGCAGGCTTGGTAGCCAAACCTCGCGCCTGCCCCACTTTCTGGGGAGGTGCGTGGGTGGGGGCAACTCAGACATCGGTATTTGCCGTCCTTCGCGAGCTTCGCATGCCGAAAACCTCGCGCCTGTCTTGTTTTCGAGGAGGCGCTTGGGCGCATTTTGTGTGACTGGCTTCCTGAAGGGACTGGCTTTCTGAAGGGTGTGTTCTGCGCGAACTCTTGCCTTCTGGTCGCTTGCCCAGACACATCTTGAGGCCTGAACTCCGTAAACGTGCATCTCCAATGGCTTGTTTTGGGATTCATTGCCCTCGTTTGACGCACTCTGGGGAGGGGGTGGTGATGCTGTCTTGATCGCATGCCCAACGCTGAGATTCCTTGCTTGTTTGGGCCCGCTCTTGCGACTACAGGGCTTTTACTGCTGCTGCAGCTGCCAGTCTAGGTCCACTTCTGCCGCTGCTGCTGAGGCATAGCCCCCAAGACTTCCTTAAGCATGCAGAGAAGGACTGGGTGACTGGGTGAAGCTGTGACTCCGTGGCCGGCAAAGAAAGGCTCGCGAGCAACCGGTTTCAGCTCAGACCTGTGTGTTCTTGAAACTGAATCACCTCGATGTGTCCAAAACCTAGGCCACAGCACGGACTCATGATTTTGTTTTCGTGGCCGCTCAACAACCTAAGGCTCTACATCCTGAAAGTGCTGCGCCTGCCATGAAACCCTAAGAAGCCTAGCGCTGTATCCTCTGCTGGTTCGTGCGAACAGCCTGTTGCAGCGTTGCTTGAAGCAGCTGCTGAGCAGCACCTTGCTCGCAACAGTTGTCTGTAGATGGAGGCGACAAGGCTGTTGGTGCTGCCGGTGCCGCCGCTTTCGCTGCTGCTGCTATCCTTGATCTGCCTTGCGTGCTGATCTCGCCAGGCGGCCGCAAAAGACTTGATCCGAACAGAAGCAAAAGAAGTAGTACTGCCGCATCGGTCGGTCCTGGATTGGGACGCCCAGAAGCCCTGCAGCGTCTTCGTCACCGTTCAGAATCTTTATGACCAGCACCTGCGCAAGACTGCAAAGCAAAGGTGCTGGCAAACGTTTATTGCAGCTGCCTGAATAAAATCCGGAAGATGCTGATGGTAAGCTTCTGCTGGCGCCTCCGGGCATCACTCTTGAAAGAGGGCTTTTAAAACTCATCCTTGCCAAGCAAAGCTGCCTGGCACTGCTTACAACTCCGTCCTTCTGCGTCCAGAGCTGCTCCAACGAGGCCGTAACACGGATCCAGGTCTCCCAATCCAGACGGTAGTGGTAAGGCGACCTCGCAAGTCGCAAGCCATACAAAAACGCCCACACAGCCCGGTTTTCTCGCTTCTGAGTTCGCAGACTGCACAAGAGACGTGCAACGCTCTGCCGGCACAGCAACAGAAATCAAGCTATGACGACGTCAGAGTCCTTTGAACCAGCCATTGCAAGCAGGGATCATAAGGCAAGGTCTCTGATCGACGGTACCAGGAAGGCACTTGAAGTCCAAAGGCTTCCAAACCTGGGTTTGCCACCGGGTGCTCCACTCATACAGTGCCTAGTTCACCCTGCGCCACGCTCATCTTGAACATGATCACGCAAGCCGATGGACTAGCTGTGCTGGATCTCTGGACATGAACCTTCGACTCTTGCTCGACAACTGTACGATGCCGGCTTTTGCGACCAAGTCTCCATGCTCCAATCACGCCAAGAATGCAGACAGCTTAGTGCAATTTCATGTCTACAGCAGCTTGGGGTGCAGGCAAGCAGCGGCTTGAGGACCGCCGGGTGCAGGATCATGAGTGTACTTTAAGACCTGGAGAACTTTTTGTCGGAAATGCTCTGATTAGTGTTACACAAATCGTCGGTGTGCACTGAGGCATCGCCTTCGCCGTCTTTGCCACGGGAAGTTATGATAGTACTGTTCCGTTCTGCTCTTTGACTTCAGGAGTCGGGAGCAGGTTGGCGAACCCAGAACGGCACACAAAGCAGAACCAAAAAAGGTGCAGCCGACAAGAGATGCCGAGAACGTCTGCAACAGGTTCAAGAAGCCAGGATGCTTATCGAAGCTGCAAAGCCAAGTTTTCTCGGTTGGCGAAAGATGGATGGAGAGCGATTCAGCGACAGCAGAGAGCGTCAGAGCAGCGGAGAGATCGAAAGAGACGGAGAAGGGGAGGGAGCGAGTGAGAGAGAGCACAACGCTGCACAGGAGGTCTAGGTAGCATACCTCATATGAGGAATGGCCAAACCCGGGAAAGCCGAGGCATGAGCAATTTGAACTCGGTGCTTGTTGATGAAGCCGAAGACGCCCTGCGAATTCATGAGAAACCTGGGGGCAGAGATGGGAAGAAGTCAGACACCAGTCACTGCTTTGGGAAATGCTCCTGGCTTTGGCCAACTTTCTGCAGCCATTTCACCAGTTGTCGTAGCTGTTGATCCAGGGTGCAGGACCAAAGAGCTC